TGGTGGCTAGGGGTAGTGCCATGAGGGTGTCGCTGTGTGGAATTAACGTCACCAACACAAGTAGCCCTTCGCTGTTGTCCCTGCTGTGGCTGAAGTGATTTTCCATCTGCAGGAGTCCCAGTTTGGGCTCGTCTGCCAGCTTGGGATTATGCCCACAGAGGGTCCCCAGGAGGGAGTGGAAGGTCCAGCTGGAGCCCCATCCAGGGGAGCCCAGCGGTTCCTGAGGTCACGCCACTTGGCCCGGGCATGTCCCTCTCCTGCAGATCCCCTTCATTTTCCCACTCGGGTTTGTTGGCTTTGGGCGGGAGCCCAGAAGGAAGAAAACAAATAGCAGCTGGGTCGCAGCCTGAGTCGCCCCAAGTCCCAGCTTGTGCTCAGGCCACAGCCTGGGCTGTCCTCCAGACTGGAAGTGAGGGTTTTCCTCCGGAAGCTTCCCTGTCTTCTCTCTTCCCCTGCTTGGCCAGCCCTGGCTCCACTAGTGTCTGCCCTCTTGAGGTGACCATTCTGCTGGTGCAGACCCCGGAGTCTGCCCAGGACCCTCTGGTCTGCAGCGCTTGATGGTGAGGGTGGGGGTGAGGGAGCCTGAAGCTGCCAGCCTGGGGGAGAGGCCCTTGGGGAAGCCCCAGCCTGAAGAGGGCGTTAAGGCTCCCAGGGGAAGCAGTGATGTCTGGCTCTCTGTTTGTGCCTGTGCTTGGGACTGCTGGCCACCTCTCAGCTAGAGCAGTGGGGGAGGCTCTGGGCCAGGACCCTGCTGACCCGGCTCCCCAGGCTGCCGTATGGGAAAAACCCTTCCCTCACTGGCCTTGCTGTCCCTTGCTGCAGGAGGCGGCATCTAACTGCTGAGGGGGAGTCGAGGGTCGCCACCTGGACTGGGCCAAGTTGCTCTGCCCGCCCAGGACTGGACATGGCTTCTCTCCAGCCATGCACCCACCCCCTGCTTCCCCAGGGGCCTCTGGCCTAGACCTGGGAGGCAGTTCCTCTCCTAGCCTTCATCCAAGCAGTCAGAGAAAGGCAGTCTGGGTCTTGAAAAGGCAGGCAGGCCGCCATCCACCTTGCCCTGGCCGCCCCCCTGACACATCTCTGCCGCCTCCTGTCTGGCACCCGCTTCTCTAATGCGAGGAGAATGCTCGCCTCTCCTGTCCACAGACCGCTTACAGAGTCACAGCTGTTCCGTTCCCGCAGCTGACTGAAGAAAGGAGTAGCTTGATTGGCTCTGTTTATAGACAAGGAAAATGAGGCTGAGGAAATGGAGTAACTTGCCCAATTGTGCACGGCCAGTGAGGGGTGGAACCTCATGGAGCCCCGCTTGCCTCAGAATGCCCTGCTCTCCTGCCTGCTGCTCCCTCCCATCACTATCTGAGCCTTGGATGTGGCTCTGCACAGGGTGCTGGCCTCTGGCTCAAGGAACCCTGGGGTCCCAGCCCTATAACTCCCTGCCTTCTAGTCCCCAGATGCAGTGTTTCCAAGCCTTGGTCCAGCACAGCCTCTCAGGCAGCCTGTCCTTGCTTCTGGTTGTCTTATTGACCCGTGGCCTCCTGCAGCCAGCCTCGCTGTGCCCTTTGCTGACCGTCCTCAGCGGGTGCTAACTGGGGCAGAAGGCTGTCTGCACAGAGGGGTGCATCGAAGGACGGGGTGCACTCCAGGGTACACCCGCAGCCGCTCGTTTCTTCCTTGCAGGCGCCTACTCCATCTGGACTGGGCGGGGAAAGGATCCTTCCCAACCCTGTCAGGGCCCTGTGTCTTCTCTCCTCCTGTCCTTGAGCTGTCCCCCACTGCTCCCTGTGATCTCTCAGCTGGCTTCACCCTCCCCTATTGCCAACAGTAGAACATGCTCAAAACAAAGGCTTCCCCCAGAAACCCGCCCTGTGTCTGTCTGTGCTTTCTCCGGCCTGGCTCATGGGCAGGGCCCTCGGCATCTCCTGCTTCCACCCTGTCTCTGTCCAAGGCAATTGTGGAAGGTCTGACTCCAGGGCCAGGGTGGAATGTAATGAGACCAAACTGGGTGCGGCCCTCCACCCCTGAGAAGAGCCAGATCTGCACTTTTGATTCTTGTGGGAGAATTTCCCAGGTCTTTCTCAGGAGAAGGGAGGGAGAAAGGTGGGGCAGGTTGATAGTCCTGCTTTCCTGTTGCAAGAATATCTGTCCCATGCGTCCTCTCCCTGGGAAGAGTTCTAGTGCCTGTCCACTCCCTGAACCTCTGTCCAACTCTGACCTCATCCTCAGACTTCTCTCATCTGCATGGGAATCCTGGTCACTTATTACTAGGATCTTAGACATCAGCATTCCTTTGAGATGACCTGAGCCAGCCTTTCTGTAGAGGAAGCCCAGAGATGGAAAGTAACTGCCCAGGGACTCCCAGCACTTTGTGGAACTGGGACTGGAACCTGAGATGATTGGTGTGCAGCGGGGTGTTCTTTCACCTGTGAGTACCCTCGGCCACGTCAGCCCCCTCCTCCCTTGGCAAGAGGGCTCAGCTCCATCAGTCTTGCCTGGTGGACCACATGCTGTTTCCACTGTGAGACAAACCTGGATAGGAGCAGAGCATCACCATCTTCTCCGCGGGGAGCCTCAGCCACCCTACCCACCCCACTTTTTTTGGTATTAGATATTGAGCTCAGGGGTAGCCTCCCACTGAACTGCACCTCCAATCCTTTTAATTTATTTTTGATTTAGAGACAGGGTCTCACTCAGTTGCTGAGGCTGACCTTGAACTTGGGATCCTCCTGCCTCAGTCTCCCAAGGTGCTAGGATTTCAGGTGTGCACCCACTGTGCCCAGCCCATTTCCCTTCCCAGAAGTTGGGAATAAAAAAAATGCCTGACAGCAAGAAAGAGATCCATTTGATATTAAAGGCAACTGGGTGCCTGTACCCCCTGCCCCCTATCATTGTCCCTCTGTCCTGCCCTGGGCAGCTGTCTGGCCCTCAGCTTTTCTTGGCTCCAGGCCCAGGCTGCTGGGGGTCGTGAGGGGCCTGCGAGGAAACTCCCCATAGCCTGGACCTCGGTGGTCCTTTCTAATTAGAGGCTGGTCCCTGTGATTTGGGATGAGGACCCCTCCCCTCTGGAATGACCCTTGGGTTAGGCAGAGAAAGCGCCTTTCCTGGTCCGAATGGGGCGTTTGTGTGGAGCAGGGCTGGGCACGCTCGGCGTGGCATTTGGGGGGTTATTGTAACTGTGCTTCACCTTCATCTCAAGTGCTCGGATGTCCAGTTTTCTTCCTCCCCCCAGGGGCAGCTTCTTCGCTCAGCTGGCCTCTCCCAAGCTCCTTGGTTCTCTCTTGGGACCTGCCATTGGGGCAGGGGGTGGGATGGGGGAGGCAGGCGGAGCGCCAGGCAGGATTTTCCTGAGTCTGTCTCTTCCAAGCCCCTGGTTTCCTGCCATTGACCCTTGTCTGCTGCCCGGGACAGGGTGCATGGGAAGGGCGGGGGCGGGGGTTGCCTCCCGAAATAGCCGTACTTGGCGAATGCCTGGGAGCAGCTGTGCACATCTGGTGGCACAGAGCCTGCCGTCTGGTGTCCTGGGCCTGCTTCTGTTTATCAGCCCGAAACTCTGAGTCACTGCATGTGGCAGGGGCAGAGGAAGAAGGTGGCTGCGAGCTGGTCTGGCTCCTGCCTCTGCCTGTGTGTACTAGGTGCGCTCAGGACAGGGGAGGGGCTGTGCATTGCCATAAAAGGGAACAAGACCTGAGGAATCCTTTGTCATCCTCCTCCAGGGTGGCTCTGAGCTGTCACTGGGAAGAAGTCCCTGGTGCTCTTGTTCCTGGGGTGGGGCCAGGTTGCTCTGGTCCCCCACCCTCATCCCCATCAGTCCCTCATCACCATGGGACAACCAGCTTGAGGGGCAGGGTGCCAGCCCTCTTCATGGGGGACCAGCCTGGGATTGGCTGGCTCTCTGAGGCCACCTGGGACATGCAAAGGCAGCAGACATGGGTGCCATTCATGCCTGTGCCTGGTCCAGGCTCCGTATCTGTCCATGTGGGAACAGAGTGTGTGCTTTGAAATGGCGCCTGCGAGGATGACAGAATCGGTGAGAGGTCTGGCACAGAACCGGCCCTCGTAGCTTCCGGCCTCTCCTCCAGTCACCCGCCTCTGCAGGTCAGTCCCCAAGACAGAGGAGGCAGGCAGACCATGTGGGTGGTTCACACACCTGCTTCAAAGTATTAGCAAACCTCTAAGCACCCCCAAGTCTCTGCAGAGAGGGTCAGGGGTTCTTGAGGGGCAGTGACCACCCCAGAGGCCTGCCCCACTCCATAGCCCTAAGCCTGGGTTCAAGGTGAGAAAGTACTTCCGGGGGTAAGGCGGTGCCCACAGTGACAGCCACGGCCTCCAAGGCTGAACGCCTGCCGTTTGTCAGTGCCAGTACCATCCTGGGTTCCTGGCTGTCCTCGCAACAGCCCCCGGGGAGTGTAGCTGGGTTTTACAGATGAGGATACTGAGGCTCCACAGAGATGCGAATTTGCCAGGAGTGGTAGCTGAGACCCGAGGGGTCTGTGGTGTTCTCGGCACCGGGAAAGCTTTGAGGAGCCAGGGAGCTGGGAGAGAGGAAGCCTTTGGGGCTCTTTGTGATCCTGCTTGACCCACAAGAAAGTGAGATCCAGGAATCTCTGAGGGAGCCTCTGGTGCCCCAGAGAAACCTGTCTGACAGCTTCCCTGCCCCACCCAGTTCCTGGCCAATGTCAGGAGTGCCACCACGTCACCGCCCCTCCTCCACAGCTTTCCCAGGGGCCCAGTGAAGTGAGAGGCTGCTGGAGGCCCCAAGCGCCTTCTCCCTCATAGTGGGCCCGAGGTCAGAGACGCAAGCCCTGAGTCACAGACCACTGCTCCCCCTGGGCCTGGTACCCTTCCATATGCAGCCACCTAGGGTCCTTGAGGCTATGGTGGGGTCAGGGGAGTTGGTGGGGGTCTAGGAATGGAGGAGGCTGGGGTGGGGATGGGGCTGGGGTGAAGCTGGGGCAAGGCCACTGGGCCAGCTGACTTCCTGGCTCTCTTGTGCCCTCCCACAGCCACCATGGAGGTAATGAACCTGATCGAACAACCCATCAAGGTGACTGAGTGGCAGCAGACGTACACCTACGACTCAGGCATCCACTCAGGTGCCAACACCTGTGTGCCCTCCGTCAGCAGCAAGGGTATCATGGAGGAGGACGAAGCCTGTGGGCGCCAGTATACGCTCAAGAAGACCACCACCTACACCCAGGGGGTGCCCCAGAACCAAGGTCAGCACCTTTGGGGGCTTTTCCGTGGGGTAGAAAAAACCCAGAAGACCCCTGGAAGAACATCAGAACAAAGGAAGGCAGATTTTAGGAGGCCCCCTTGGTTTGAGGAGGAGGCGTACTTCCTACTCTTAGGGACCTGTGAAGTCTGAATGAGGAGGCAGCTCATGCTCACGGGAGCCCGCCCAGTCTGAGGGAGGAGGCTTAGCTATCAGGGTCTCCCGTGTGGGATGGATGCAGACTCTTCTTCCATGAACCCTTAGTGTGGAGTGGGGCGTAGACCCTGTCCCTGGTGCCACCAATCGGAAGAAGAGGCGCAGTTTTTGCCTTCTGTGTGCATGGGAATATGATGGGGAGGCATGATTCCTGCCTTCAGGGGACCTGGGGATTGTGGAAGATGTCCTTTTTGCTCTAGGAGCCTTATGTCTGGTGGGAAAAACAGTTCTCCAGCCCCAGGGAGCCCCCAGCCTGGTGGAGGAGGTGCCGAGCTCAAGCCCAGACTAGGCCAGCGTGGGCTGGTAGAGATGGGCCAAGTGCAGGGTGGAGTGGCTGACTCAGTTCTGGGGCTTAGTCTCATGGTAGGGGGAGGGGGAAGGGCGCCTTGCCAACTCAGGTGTCTCTTCCCTTCTGGAGGAGAGAAGCATCTGGACCCCAGGACTGTTGTCCCCAGGTGCCTTCAAGGCCTTGGAGAGGATGAGCTCTGGGACCTGGAAGAGTGTAGGTGAACTGAGCCTGGCTGGGGCTCTGCAGGGCTCAGCCTCTGCACCCTGGGTCTCTTCCCTGGCCACAGGCAGAAGCCTCAGCTGGGCAGAGCCCAGCACTGTGCTGGGAGCTCAAAGTATAGCATCTAGGTGGGAAGCCACGTAGGTGTCTCCTCCTTGCCCAGCAATTAGAGTAAACTCTCTGCCTGCCTCTCCCTTGGGGCATTGGGACAGTCATCAAGGTGGGGGTGCCTGGGCTCCTACTTGTTGGACTCATGGGGCTCCCCGGGGGCTGGAACCTGGAAGGGGGACCACTGGGGACTCAGAGAGTAGGGCTTTGGGCTCCTGAGTCTGTCTGTGACCTCTGTGCCCAGTAAAGTGGAAATAGTAATATACTTGACTTATAGGTAGTTGTAAGATTAGACAAGAAAATAAAAGAAAAGGAATGAATTCATGGCCAGGTGGATAATAAGTACTTAAAATATTACTTCATTTTATTAATAATTACCACTAACATTTCTGTAGTGAGAGGTGCCAGGCACAAAGAGCCCTTTCTTTCCAGAGCAGTTCTCAACTATGATCTCATTTAATTGTCATAGGAATTCCCTGTGCTGGATTTAACAGGTGGGACCCCATTTTACAGATGAGGAATCTTGAGGCATTGATGATCCCCCCAATGCCATGGTTAGGGGCAGAACTATGAATGGTGCTCTGGGGGTTTGGTCAAGGTGGAAGGCTGCCCAGGGGACTCAGGTGGGCTGTCTACACCTCCTGCCCTGCCCCCCCAGGGTCCTCCCCATCCTCCTCCTGCAGCTCTGTTCCCATTCTGTTGGCTCTCAGGTGATCTCGAGTACCAGATATCCACGACGGCCAGAGCCAAGCGGGTGCGGGAGGCCATGTGTCCAGGTGTGACAGGCGAGGACAGCTCATTGCTGTTGGCCACCCAGGTGGAGGGACAGACCACCAACCTGCAGAGACTGGCTGAGCCGTCCCAGCTGCTCAAGTCGGCCATCGTGCATCTCATCAACTACCAGGACGATGCGGAGCTGGCCACCCGGGCCCTTCCCGAGCTCACCAAACTGCTCAACGATGAGGACCCGGTCCGTGAGGGCCTCGGGGGGCAGACGGGAGGGAGGTCCTGTCCCGACTCCCCACGGGCCACAGGCGGCTGACTTGAGTTTCCCTGAGAGGAAAGGGGTCCTGCCTCTTCCTTTCCTCAGCAGCGGGTCCTGGCCCAGATGCTCACGTCCTCCCATTCTTTCCCAACCTCCAGGTGGTGGTGACCAAGGCGGCCATGATTGTGAACCAGCTGTCAAAGAAGGAAGCATCCCGCCGGGCCCTGATGGGCTCCCCGCAGCTGGTGGCGGCCGTGGTGCGCACCATGCAGAACACCAGCGACCTGGACACGGCCCGCTGCACCACCAGCATCCTGCACAACCTCTCCCACCACCGCGAGGGGCTGCTCGCCATCTTCAAGTCAGGCGGCATCCCTGCCCTGGTCCGCATGCTCAGGTGCTCCTCCCTTCCCACTGCGGGAGCCTAGGGCTCCCCTCACCAGGGCTTCCCCTTCCCTTCTTTGGGCTTCCCTAAACACACTGAGCACCTGCTGTGTGCCAGGTGCAGAAGCACATCTCTCCTGGTGCTCCGTGGCACACAGGCTCGCAGGGGGCACAGGTGTGTAAACAGCCGGTCAGTTATCAGGGTACAGGTAGGCTGTGGTTGAAGATGCCTGAGATTGCCCGCAGGTAGACTCGTTCCTGCGGCAGGGTTGATGGATGGGTGGAGTTTGGTTAGTGTAGATGAGGGTGATGGTTCCAGGTAGAGCGAATAGCATAGGTGAGGCCCCTGTGACCTTGTCTTTCCTATCTTATGCTGATGTTGAGTGGCCTTATTGCTCATCCAGGCTGAGAGATCCCTGAGGGTAGAGGTATTGATTTCACTCCAGGCTGCACCCTTTGCAGGGCCTCTCTGGCACTTACCCTTCCACGTGGTTGTTACCCCACAGGGAAAGGTATTGAGGGGACTTACCATGTGCTCGGCACCAGAGGGGAGCTCAGAAGCAGAAGCAGTCATGTCTAAGTGCTTGGTGTATAAGAGTGGGACTGGGTTCACGGATTTGATTTGATTGATACATTTTTTTGTGTGTGGTACTGGAATTTGGACCCAGGGCCTTGTGCATGCCAGAGACATGAGGTTTTGAGAAAGAGCTATTCCCATGGGGGTGTTAGTATGAGGTGGGCTTCCTGCAGAAGGTGAGAATACCCAGAGGCAAGGACCTGACTCCTCTGCACCCCTAGCTCTCCCGTGGAGTCGGTCCTGTTCTACGCCATCACCACCCTGCACAACCTGCTACTGTACCAGGAGGGTGCCAAGATGGCAGTACGCCTGGCAGATGGGCTGCAGAAGATGGTGCCCCTGCTCAACAAGAACAACCCAAAGTTCCTGGCCATCACCACCGACTGCCTGCAGCTCCTGGCCTACGGCAACCAGGAGAGCAAGGTGGGCGCTCCCACCCCTGGCCTGCAGCCTGTGCTTGTATCACCTCCCACCCACCCTGCCAGCTTTAGGCCTGTGTCCCCTTGTGCTTCCAGATGACGTATATGGCGAAACAGATAATCATGTTTTACCCTGTTTCTGAATTCTCAGAATGATTTTGAGGATCAGATAAAGAAAAATACCCTTATCTTTCTCATAGCTATTGTTATCTTTTTTTTTTTTTTTTTGGTGCAGTGCTAGTAATTGAAGTCTTTTTTATTTTTATTTTGAGGCAGGGTCTCCCTCAGTTGCAGAGGCTGGTCTTGAACTTGTGATCCTTCTGCCTTAGCTTCCTGAGTCACGGGAATTACAGGCATGTGCCGCTGTGCCTGGCCACTGCTGTTATTTTGATGTTTTTTCCTCAGTGCTGTTCTAGGGGCTTATTTATAAATACATACATCTGGTTGTAGTCATAGCAGTATGTGGATTTGCATCTGTTTTCTTTCTTTCTTTCTTTTTTTTTCAACTGGAAACTGAACCTAGGGATGCTCTACCATTGAGCTACATCCCCATTTTTTAAAAAATTTTGAGACGGGGGGTCTCACTAAGTGCTGAAGCTGGTTTCTAGCTTGTGATCCTCCTGTCTTAACCTCCTAAGTCACTGGGATTGCAGATGTGCACCGCTGCGCCCTGCTGGGTAGAACATCAGATTTTGCTACCAGTTTTCCCTCTTTATCTGTTATGAACATCTCTGGGCACATGACTTTTCCCAGAATAGAAAAAATTTTCATCAGCAGGGCTCTGGGCTTTTACCCAGATGGTCTAATTTCCGTTGTCGTCAGTAGCAGTGGCTGTGAGTACAGTTTTGCCACGTCCTAGTCAGCACTGGGTATTATCCTTTTCTTAAAATTCTGGCTTACGTGATCATCACAAAAGCTATTCAGGTTTGAGCAGAAGCTCAGTAATGACCCCTTTATCCTATATCTCCCTCCTCCCCTGCCGTATTCCCTGCCTTACTCCCGTTCCCCCCCCTTTCCCCGACAGCTCATCATCCTGGCCCATGGAGGACCCCAGGCACTTGTTCAGATCATGCGGAACTATAGCTATGAGAAGCTTCTCTGGACCACCAGCCGCGTGCTCAAGGTGCTATCCGTGTGTCCCAGCAATAAGCCTGCCATTGTGGAGGCTGGTGAGTATGATAGCTTCAAGGGTGACCTGTGTGGTTGGAAGGGTCAGGGTGGGGGTCCTGCCCTGTAGCCAGGCTGGGTCATCTGTGCTCCCCTATGGCTGACAAGACCCCTTTCCCTGCCCCAGGTGGCATGCAGGCCCTGGGCAAGCACCTGACCAGCAACAGCCCCCGCCTGGTGCAGAACTGCCTCTGGACCCTGCGTAACCTCTCGGATGTGGCCACCAAGCAGGTGAGGGAGGTGACCAGGGCTGGGGCCAGCTTCTGCAGCTTCCTGTTTGGGTGTCCAACCTCAGGTGCTGGGGGAGGACTGGAGCCTCTGAATCCTCCACCCTCGTAGCTGAGGCGGGAAAGGCCCTGGAGGCCCTCATCCATGTGGCTGGAGATTCTAGTCCTATTAGGGATCTGGGAAGGGGAAAGGAAGGGCCTGACATCTTTAAGCAGCAAAGGTTCAGGTGGCAGCAGAGGCCCAGTTTTGGCTAGACCCTGGCCAGGAGCAGCAGCGTACCAGAAGATGGCTGTGGGGCCCCAGTGGCTGAAAACAGCTGCAGGGAAGGTGCAGCTCAGTCCCTCCTTGCACCCCATCCGCCATTGCCAGCAGCCTGCCCCCACCCTCCACACTGGGCTAGAGCTCCGCTGGGCTCCTGTGGACCTGAGCTTGCTTAACCCTTTCAGCAACCTGGAGGTGGAGTGTGCGACCCTGGTTAGATGACGAAACCGTGGCTCAGGGACTTAAGGAATGTCCTGTGGTCATTGGTAGTAATGGCAGCTGGCGTTCCAGCCCCAGATTGTGTGTCCCCAAAGCCCAGGGTCTTTCTGTCCTATCACAGGCCCTCATGGCTCTCCCTGGAGAAGTGAAGCTTCCAAACTAGGGATTTTTCCTGAAAGTAGGTTTGGCTTAGAGACCTCTGGAGAGGGGAGGGCATCGGGGAGGCCAGAAAAGTGGGAAGTGTGTGACAGTGGGTCGCCTGGTCACAGAAGCATGTGACCTCCTTGACAATCTCCTCTAGGCCCGGAGGCCTCCTTTGGCCAAGATGCCCTTGGCCAGGGCAGGGCTCTGCCTCATTTGAGGGCCCAGGGCCAGGTGGGTAAGATGGAGGAAAGAGTGTGGAGCTTAGTGACTGGCCTGGGTTTGGCCTCATAGCTGTGCATCTGGGCAAACCTCGCAACCTCTCTGAGCCTCTTGGCCTTGCTTGCTCTAGGGATTAGTAACACCCTTTCCCAGGGTATCAGCAGGTCATGGGATGAAAGTTCCCAGGCATGTGCAGACAGGCCTATCCCTTTAGGCCATCAGCTCTGCTTGGACATACTTGGAAAGGCTTCCTGTAGCTGGCACCCCCTCACTCTCCATGCCCTTCTCCCCACCCCCAGGAGGGCCTGGAGAGTGTGCTGAAGATCCTGGTGAACCAGCTGAGTGTGGACGATGTCAACGTCCTCACCTGTGCCACGGGCACCCTCTCCAACCTGACCTGCAACAACAGCAAGAATAAGACTCTGGTGACACAGAACAGTGGCGTGGAGGCGCTCATCCATGCCATCCTGCGCGCTGGCGACAAGGATGACATCACAGAGCCTGCTGTCTGTGCCCTGCGCCACCTCACCAGCCGCCATCCTGAGGCCGAGATGGCTCAGAACTCCGTGCGCCTCAATTACGGCATCCCAGCCATTGTCAAGTTGCTCAACCAGCCAAACCAGTGGCCACTGGTCAAGGTACAACTCCCCTGCCCGGGGATCAGCGAGGGGAGGCAGCTCCCTGTGCAGGCCAGGCACTGCATTGGTAAAGCGGCCCTAGATACAGTGGCTCAGATAGGCCAAAGTTCATTTCTCTCTCATGGAGCAGTTTAAACCCGATTGTCATCAGCTTTGCCCCAGACACAGATGATTTCTGTCCTGTGCCTCTGCCACCCCTAGAGCAGAGCTTCTCAAAGTTCAACATGCACACACGTGTGGCCTAGGTCGGGGAGGGGGTCTCATTCCTCTGCAGGAGCCGGTTCAGTGCCCCTGGCTGGGCCTGGGAGATTGTGTTGCTAACAGGCTCCCCGGGGATACTGCTGGTCCACAGAGCACCTTCCTTATACAGAAGGTTAGATGACAGCATTGCTCCCACGCGGATGGTTGGATTGTGTGCCCCCACCATGGGGAAGGAGCGAGGCCTGGGGCCAGCAGAACAAGGACCTACTCTGGCTCCCGCCCCAGAACCTGGTTACCGGGCCTCATCGAGATGTAAGGAAGTTAGGAAGAGTCACCACCAGCCACATGGCCACATGTCCTGCTAAACTAGGACAGTGCCAAAATAAAAGAGAAAGGGAGCGCTCTGGGGGTGGGTGCTCAGTCCCTGTCCTGGGGAGGTGGGAATGGGGGGTGGGGCCTCTTGCTCAGGGGCTTCCTGATCGAGGAGGGATGTGTATCCCTTCTCATAACCAGTGGGGGAGTGATGGCAGGCCAGGGGCAGCCAGGCAGGGGACAGGGTTATGGCAGATGGGGTGTGTGTTTGTAGGAACAAGGAAAAGAGCCCAAGGCAAGGTGACATCTGGTGCGAGGGAGTGAGAAAACTACCATTGACTAGGGTTTCGTGAGTGCCACGGGAACTCCACTACCCTGGGGGTGTGCCACTTGCTAAATATTAGACAGTTGAGCGGTGTAGATGAGAATGGTGCTCAGCGATTATGCACACTGAATTTAAAAAATAGATCTATAGGGGCTTGGTTGTGACTCAGAGGTACAGCACTTGCCTAGTATGTGGGAGGCACTGGGTTTAATTCTCAGCACTGTATATAAATAAATAAAATAAAGGTCCATCAACAATTTAAAAATATTTTTTAAAAAAGATCTATAGTGAGAAAAAAAATGGTGGTGAGTGTGACCCCGCCTTGTTGCTTGTTCCTTGCTACAAGCCAAGGTGCTGATGGTATTTACATCCTGACCCAGCAGCTAAGTGACAAGTAACACCCCGTGTTCCCATCCTCGTCTCTCACATGACTTTCATCCCTGCCCTACCAGTTTCTTTTTTTGAGCATCCAGTGATGTGACAAATTGCTTTGCCAGATCCTGAGGGGCTCTGGGAGGTCAGAGTGGTGGCTGTGAGTCACGGTCCCTGGGGAGGGGAACTCATCCTGGAGCTGCCCTGTTGGAGATTGATTGCAGTATGAGTGTCACCAAGCAGGAGGCTTTGGGGTCAACCGTGGCAAAGATTTCCTGATAATCAGGGTTTGGGAATTAGAAAAGCAAGCGAGCCAGGTGCAGTGGCACAGGCCTGTAATCCCAGCTTCTCAGGAGGCTGAGGCAGGAGGACCACAAGTTTCAGGCCAACCTGGACAACTGTCTCAACATAAAAAAAATAATAAGCATTGGGGGTGTAGCTCATTAGTAGAGCACCTGGGTTCAGTCCCTAGTACTACAAGAAAAGAACAGAAAATTTAAACGTGAGGACTCACGGGTCCTCCACAATAAGGGACCCAGGCGGGAGTGGTCTCGTCCTCTGGAGATTTCCCAGTGTGTGTGGGGGGCCTGCAGGGCAGAAGAGGTGACAGCAGAGGAAGGAAATACTGAAACTGGGAAACTGGGGTCCTCTAGACGCCCCTGAACTCTGCCCTTTTCCCGCCAGGCAACCATTGGTCTTATCAGGAATCTGGCCCTGTGCCCGGCCAACCATGCCCCCCTGCAGGAGGCGGCCGTCATTCCCCGCCTTGTCCAGCTGCTGGTCAAGGCCCACCAGGATGCCCAGCGCCACGTGGCTGCAGGCACGCAGCAGCCCTACACCGTAAGTGAGCTTGGTGGCACCTGTGACAGCCTTCCTTGGGTGTCAGGGCGTCCTCAGTGTTAAGTGTCTATGTAAAGGAGGAGGTGGGCTGCATTGGATGTTGATTCCAAGGTTCAGTGAAATCTGTCAGTCTGTCATTGTGGGGAGGAGTGGTGAGCTTGTCCAAGGGCCACCTGTCCTGATGCCGCATGCCGCATGTCTCGTGCAGGACGGTGTCAGGATGGAGGAGATTGTGGAGGGCTGCACTGGAGCCCTGCACATCCTCGCCCGGGATCCCATGAACCGCATGGAGATCTTCCGGCTCAACACCATCCCCCTGTTTGTGCAGGTGAGTCTGGGGCAGGTGGGCAGGGGAGCTCCCCTCAGCCACTACCAAGAGGGTAAGATTGGGGGTCATGGGTTTGGGAGGCCCAGGCCAGGAGTCGGGAGGTCTTTGGAAGGGAGTGGCCACACCAGGAGTGAGTACCCAGGCAGCTCCCAGATGCAATGGTTTTCCAAGCTCAGAAGCAAAGGAAGAGATCACAAACGAAGAAACAAAAATCTTGCGATTCAACCACAGGAACATTAGAGCCATCTGTATGTCAGAGACGACCTAAAAAAGTAAACAGCAAACTGGGAAAATATGTTCAAGTACCACAACAGGCAGGGGTTCAATAGCCCTCGTGTTAAAAGCTCATTTATACTAAGTCCCAGGAGTTAGATGCAGGCAGAGGCCACAGGTAATTCCCAGGAGGCTCATACACAAACAATGCTCAGCCCCAGGAGTTTAGAGAAATGAAACTTGTCCCCCAGCGAGAGCCCATTTTCTACTATCAAATGGGCAAAGGAAAATAATTGAGTGTGCCCTACGCAGGGGACAGTTTGATGAAATAGACTCATACCCTGCTGGTGGGAAGCAGGCTGGAAAGCAGCCTTGCAGTATTTATAGGGAGCTTTGGAAATATTCATGTTCCTATCTTTCAACCAACTAATTCAAATCCAAGTCTATGAAATAATTTAATGTCACTTAGAATATGGACAAAAATTGGGGCTGTGGTTGTGGCTCATTAGAAGAGCGCATACCTACCATGTGTGAGGCACTGGGTTTGATCCTCAGCACCACATAAAAATAAATAAAGGTATTGTGTCCATCTACAACTAAAAACAAATTTAAAAAAATAAGGACAAAAATGTATACACAGAGGTAACAATTACAATGTTACTTACAGTATTTAAAAACAAACAGCAATCCCAGAGGCTTGGGACTCTGAGGCAGGAAGGTTGCAAGTTCAAAGCCAGCCTCAGCAACTTAGCAAGATCCTAAACAACTTAGTGAGACCTTGTTTTTAAAAAAAGGGGGCGGGGGGCTGGGGATCCGACTGAGTGGTTAAGCACCCCTGGGTTCAATTCCTGGTACAAAAAAATAATTTTTTGCTTTTAAAAATTTTCTTATTAATTGAATTAGCGGAGTAAAGGGTAAGTGCTGGGGCTTCCTTCCATAGCCACCTATTGTTCAGTCTCGTAGCACTACATTTAGCCTTCAGCATTTAATCTTTCTCTCTTATCAATATGAATGCATAGATGTTTAGGAAAAGTCTAAACATAATACATAGGAAAATGCTTTATTCCACTATAGCAAGTGAAAAAGGCAGGAATCATCAGAATTATATACAGTGGACAATAATTGGCCTGTGATAAAAATGCAGTGGGAATATGGCAGTGTGTTAACAGCAATCTTCTATCCACCGGGGGAATTATGGCTGGCTTGCTCCTTTCTGTGTCTTTATGCCTTCTTGGGCTTTTCTCATTTTGTGGCATAAGCTTAGGTTAAACCCAGAAAGGGGTGGGCAGGGCTGTGGGCCGTGCTGCCTGGCCTGCCTCACCCTCGTGCCCTGCACTACTCCCTGTCCTCTGTCCTGTCCTCCAGCTCCTGTACTCGTCGGTAGAGAACATCCAGCGTGTGGCCGCCGGCGTCCTCTGCGAGCTGGCCCAGGACAAGGAGGCAGCCGATGCCATTGATGCCGAGGGGGCCTCCGCCCCTCTCATGGAGCTTCTGCACTCTCGCAACGAGGGCACTGGTGAGGGGCTGGGCTGTGGGCCAGGGGAGGGGAGGCTGGCCTTGCTTCCCCAGTGGCGGTGGCCTAGGGAGCATCGACTTGTCTGTAACTTCCCTCTCTGCTCAGCCACCTATGCTGCCGCTGTCCTGTTCCGAATCTCTGAGGACAAGAACCCGGATTACCGCAAGCGCGTGTCCGTGGAGCTCACCAACTCCCTCTTCAAGCATGACCCCGCCGCCTGGGAGGCTGTGAGTATCCAAGGTTGAACTGCAACTTCTGGGGAACCTTCACCCCGTATCCTTGGCTTCACAGATTTTTATATTGTTTTTGGATCATTTTTGACTTTCCTAGCAGATGGAGTCAGTAGAGGGAACCATGTATTTGTCCCCTGCCCCCACAGTGCTGGGGATTGACCCATGTCCTTGCACATGTCAGACAAGCCTGTTACCACTGAGCCACCTTCCCAGCCACACCCCGTTATCTGTTTTTGACCTAAAATAGTAGCAATTTCATTTTGCCCAAATGAATATAAAAGGTTTGAGGAAGGACACCTTTTTCTTCTCTTTACAGAGGTGGGGACTGAACCTTGGGCCTTGTGCACTCTGCCACTGAGCTCTACCCCCAGCCCAGGTTCCCTTTTTTAATTTGTGCAAAGATGCTAGCAGTGTCCTGGGCCTGGCTGGGGCAGTGTCCCGTATTCATTCTTTAGTTCTCTTCCTGCCAACACCCCCCCAGATCTGGTTCCGTGGGAGCCCCCAAGCACGAGACCCACACCCTGAGGAGGTGCCCAAGGTCATGAGTTCATCATCCTCTTCCGCCAAGAGATCTCCACTTTGCCTTAGACCCTTTTTTAGGAGTCCCTCCCTGTCCCCAGCCGAGAGCCAGCCCAGAGCGTGCCTTTGCAGACCTCCTGCTTTCTCTCCCTCCCCAGGCCCAGAGCATGATCCCCATCAATGAACCCTATGCTGATGGTAAGTGGCCAGAAGTCCTCAGGATTCCAGAGAACCTAGACTCTGGCAAGTGAGAGGGACGGGCGGGGGACACATCATGGCGGCCACTCTGTGGTGTCCACCTGGACTCCAGCCTAGATCCCCTGGTGTGGGAGTTTGGGAAGGAGGTAGGGCCCTTGGTGGTGGGCAGGGGTAGAGGAGTTGGCTGAGGGCTACCTAGACCAACTCCTGTGGCGTGGCCTGCAGACCTCCAGACAAATTCCCTTCTTGTCCCCAGACATGGATGCCACCTACCGCCCCATGTACTCCAGCGATGTCCCGCTTGACCCCCTGGAGATGCACATGGACATGGATGGGGACTACCCCATTGACACCTACAGCGACGGCCTCAGGCCCCCCTACCCCACTGCGGACCACATGCTGGCCTAGCTGGCCCCACCCAGTACGGCACCCGCTGCCTCGCGGCCCTGCGCCTGCTCACAGGCTGCCGAGGTGCCTGTTTCTCCCTATCATGAACCTCCTTCTGATGGGAGCCCTCCATTTTCTCTGCTGAAACCTTGGCTTCTGTTTCGGGGGGAAGGAGTATGGGAGCCCCTTGCCGCTGAGCTTCCCAAAGTAAGGCCTGCTCTGGCTGCCTCCTCCTTGTACCTTTGCTTGGGGCTGGAGTCCTGCTCCTTCCAGCCTCTTCTTACTAAGGAAAGACAACTGGCCCTTCTGGGGTGGTGGGTGAGTGTCATGGGAGTGGCCTGAGCTTCTGGGGGACACCCAGTCCCTGGTCCCTGGGTCTGTGCCCCTGGCAGATGCGGTTCCTCGCCTGAGAGGCTCTTGTGCAGGTGATGGGGTGAGACAGAAAAGTGCCTGAGCCGTGGGAGCCCGGGCTGTGACTTCCTGCTGGACTCCACGCCTTCCGAAGTCCTCCCAGGGTTTCTTGGGATGGTGTTCTGCCCCTGCTTTTCTGTCCTGGGCTGTGGGTTCAGGGCCCGCCTGACCTCCCTGCCCCACTTCTGTGGCCGTGGCCGCTAAAGCTTTAGATTCAGCCGCCCACCCTGTGTCTCCCAGCAGCCCTCCTGACCTGTTTGTCCCCAGTTGCCTGGACCCTTCTCTGGGTCAGGTTTTCTCACCGGACTTCCCTGACCCACTGCTCTGAGGCCCCAGGGTCTCCAGGACCCAGGCTCAGGGCCCAAACCCCTGAAATCCAAAGCTTCTTTTGAAAAATTCAGGGACCTTCCAGGGAGACAGGACGGAGATGCAGAAAGTGAGTCCCCTACTCTAACGGACATCCACCGATCTCTCCAGGATCCTAAATTGGCTTCTGCCCCTCCTGGAGAAGCTCTGGGGACATCTCCCACCCTGACCCCCCCCCCACTGCCCCAGCTGACCCCCAGAAGTGCTCTTGCTGACCCCTCTGGTGTGCGGTGAGGGGCTTTCTCTTCCCTTCCTGTTTCAGACTCCCCTACCATCCCTTGCACATGGGTATGGGAGGGTGGCAGGGGTCCCAGCCGAGAGTGTATTATTATCGCTTTATGTTTTTGGTTATTGGTTGTTTTTGTATAGACCAAAGCAAAGAAAATAAAAGTAACACACAGATCCGGTGGGAACCACTTAGGGGTGGGGTATGGGGAAGACGAGGGGCCTCCCCTGTTTCCCTCCTTGTCTGGACCCTTGTGTCCTCGTGGCTGCCTGAGGTGTGGGAAAGACAGGGCAGGAACCATGGGGGAGAAGGGAGTGTTGGAGGAGTCAGTTTAATCCCCACACAGCTGCAGGGCTGCAGCTTGGAACCTTCCAAGGAGAGGACAGGGCAAGACATGTCAGGGGTGAGTCCCGCCCTCAGGGACGCCAGGCCTTGTTCCTCTCTAATGGCAAGCTCCTTTCTGGCCTCTGCCTCCAGTCCTGCTTTGTGTGCAGATATTGTGCTCCCTGTGACCTCTGGCTTGGTTCTCTGCCCCTCTGCTCTGCGGTGGGCCCTCCCCAGCTCCTGCCTACTCCCCACTGTGTCCCCTGCTGCCGACTCTGCCCTCAGCCATGTGGTGCCAGCCGGCATCTTCTATGCTGTCTCCTGCTTCCTGGTCTTTGCTCATGCACCCCCACCTGCCTGGCCTGCCTTCCCCTGCTCATCCAGTGGCATGTGACCCCAGGAACAACCCCAGACTGAGCTGTGCACCTTGTCTTCCATGCTCCCTGGTGGTACAGACTGTCATCTCACCCGTCACGTTGGTCTGTCAGCTTTACGTTGACAGTTCCCTACCCACAGTGCTGGGTTCTTTCTGAGGTGGGCTGGTCCCAAGGCACCCGGCACACCTGAGACCAGGAGGTACTTGTGGCTGCGCTTGCAGGGCGGGGAGCCTGCTTTCTACACCTGGCTGGAGTCGGTCAGGGCTGGCTGGGCCATGGAGCCTCAGGGGGATGGGCTGCTGGACCAGAGGCAGGCAGCCTGGTTAGGAGGTGGCAGGATGGTCCAAGCACAGGGGATGACACACTGAGCTGAGCTCTGCTGACAAGAACCTTTGGAGGGGAGAGGGGACATAGTGTTCAGGGGCCAAAAGGAGGGAATTAACAGCGCTCATTATCTGTACTCCATGTTCAGGACTTTGGCAGAAGACACCTGAATTGGGAAATTTGCGAACTTGGTAGAGGGACAATCTACAAATATGTGGGTGGTATAGTATAGAGCCAGGAAGAGGACAGTATCCTGGGCTAGTTACCGTGGCCTCACCAGCTGGAGCCTGAGGCAGGAAGTGGGGAATGTGTACTGGGAGCAGGACCCTGAGGATGAGGCTCCTGACAGGAAGCTGTGACCTCAATCCCTCCTGCTGGTGATTGCTGTTGGCCAAACTCAGGCAGAAACCAGAAAGCCCAGCGCAGCGTGGAGAAGAGCTGGAGAGACCAAAAAAGACACCCAGCCAACTACCACCCCATCTTTCCAAAAGAGGACTCGCTGTTGAAAGGATTAAGCCTCCTAACAGAAAATGGGGGCAAGGGAAGGGAGGGCGCAGGAAGCAGCTGCATGTCGATCAAGCTTCATACGAGGCTCTGAGCTTCCTGGCAGCCTGGTCACCGCATATAAATAAATAAAATAAAGGTCCATTGACAACCAAAAAAAAAAAAAAAGTAAGATAAAAAAAAAAAAACAAGGCAAGTTAATTTTCAATGGAATGAGTTGGCTACTTGAATTGTCAAGAATTGTTGGAGTCCTGCTTAGCATATGCAAGGCCCTGGGTTCGATCCCCAAAGCACACTTGCTTGCTCACACACATGCACACACACATGGGATAAGGCCTGCTCTGCCTACCAAGTGTGAGCCCAAAGTGAGAAATTAGGGGATCCTGTGCAGGAAGAAGGGAAAAGGGCAAAATCTGCTTCCCAGAGAGGTTTCCCATTTTTGATTCCCAGGCCATCCACCTCAGGAACAATCTGGCATTTGCTGGAACATATGACCAACCTTTGCTGCAAAGGAGGCTGGGAAATGGAGCATTCTGGCTGCACACAGGGGTCCCTTGAAAAAACCAGGGTCTGGCAGTAAGAAAGAGAGATCGTGGAAGACCCTGGGGTCTGGTCTGCCACAACCAGGAAATGATCTCTCCACACTAACCGCACTTCCTTTGTGGGCGGCTTGGTCAGGGGGGAGCGGAAAGCTGATTGTGCTTCTTCAAGACCAGAAAGGGGAAGCGTCTGGGTCACGTGGCAGACAGACTTTGGAGCAGCCACAGCCAAGGAGTAGGAAACCTGGCTCTGTCAGTCCTGAGGGAGGTCTGTCACCTGCCCAGTTGACATTCCCACATTGGAATCAGTGATATCAATGGAGACACAGACACCTATCAAAATATCAGGGGAGGATAGTGGGCCAAATGGCAGGACCAAAGTCCCCAGAAGTGGCAATGAGCCAGAACAAGGTGCAGGATCCAACAAGGCAGGTTTCCAAAATAAGTTATTAAAAAAAAGTCTTAAAATTGTTATCAGCCATGAAGCTAAAACTACTCTTAGCAATAGTTCTGTTAATTTGAAAAGGTTATAAAAAAAAATAAACAAGCTATTGGAGTCTTAGATTTTAAAAATGTAAAAAAGCACATCTATGTGACCTCATCCCAGAAAGTACATAACTTCACAGATGACAGGGAAAAGTAGGTAGAAAATAATTAGATGGAGTCCTGAATTCTATTTTTTTTTTACATTTTTCTTGATAATGATCACTTTTTTATTGGTTGTTCAAAACATTACAAAGCTCTTGACATATCATATTTCATACATTAGATTCAAGTGGGTTATGAACTCCCATTTTTACCCCAAATACAGATTGCAGAATCACATCGGTTACACATTCACATTTTTACATAATGCCATATTAGTGACTGTTGTATTCTGCTACCTTTCCTATCCTCTACTATCCCCCCTCCCCTCCCCTCCCATCTTCTCTCTCTACCCCATCTACTGTAATTCATTTCTCTCCTTTTTTTTTTTTTTCCCATTCCCCTCTGAATCCTATTCTTTGACCTGAAAATATCTATGCTCATAGAGAGACTATGAAATTCTGCTGTACCCAGGACATGGGGGAAAGATTTGAGAAATTAAATTGACATTCAAATTCACAATAAATTACTAATACAGCAAAGCTCTGGCAAAAAACTCAAAATGTAGTTCTATTATATGATTCAGGATTTCCAGAGAAGAAGAACCTATAGGATTTTGTATATATATATATATATATATATATATATATATATATATATATATATATACTGGGCATGGTGGCATATGACTGTAATACCAGAGGCTTGGGAGGGAGGCAGGAGGATTTCTGGTTTGAGGCCACAAGACCCATTTGTGAGGTTGGGGATGTTAATTTTACTGGGGACTGAACCCAGGGCCTTGCGATGCTAGGTAAGCACTCACTACTGAGTTACATCCCCAGCCCCGGTCTCTGAGACTCAGAGAGATAGGAAATGTGCCTGAGGTGGCCCAGCTACTGAGTCCCAGTTGCCCAACTCACTCCCCAGCCCCTTCCCTGCCCTACCCACCATGGTCAGGACCCCACAGGTGACCTTTGGCGCACCTGGCACACCTGGCTGAGATCAGGAGGGAGGGAGCTCGTGGAGGTGGAAGGTGAGACCTGAAGAAGAGCGCATTCCTGTCATGTCCCCGGCCACCCCCCTGAAGGAGAGTGTGCAGCCACCTCCTGGGACCCCTCCAGGGCAAAACCAGAAACTAGGGAATGAGGGTGGAGGCGAAAATTGCAAAGAGGAGACTTGCTGTGAACAGCAGTGTGGATGGGGACTTCGGGTGAGGCCGACCACAGAGCTGGGCTCCCTGTCACCTGAGGTCGTCAGGCAAAGGCCAAGGGCTGCCTGGTGGGAAGGTTCCAGGAGAGATTCTGCAGCACCTAGTGAAAGGGCCCACGGAGGGGCCTGAATGAAGTCACTCAAGACTTTCCAGAAGTCATTGGCCCTCTGACCTCTGGTGACAAGGTGCAGCCAATGGGACACTGGTGACAAGGGGCCCTGAGGACTCTGGCTCTGGCTGGAATGGCCGGAATGCCTGGAATGCTCCCACAGTGCTCAGCGGAGCTAACAGCCTTCAGGGTCCAGCTCCAGCCCTCTCCTGCTTCCTGGGCCTGCAGGGTCCCCGCTGCGCTGCGCAGTGCTGGGTGCGTTGCTTGCGTCTGTCCTCACTAGTACCAGCACCTGCAGCAGCTTGACACCCTGGTCTCCCTGGTGCTCAAGTCAGTCCTGGAGTTGCCCCACTCGCACCTGGGGCCCAGTGTAGCAGGACAGGGTGAAAGCTAGTGAGCCCTGAGTGGCAAGCTGGGGTTCCACCCTGGATGGTCCCTGTCTTTCCATTCCACCCAACTCTCCTTTGTCATCAGGAGCCCAGGCCCTGGAGGTAGGGGAGAATGCCTGCTCCCCAGTACCCCTTCTCCTCACTCCCTAGCCTCACCCTGGGATGCCCCAGGTTGGCAAGGACTTCCGGCTCCTGCCCACTCAGTCCCCTGTACCCCACTTGCTGTTCTATTTCCTCCATACCAGGGAGAAGATGTGAGCATCCTGTCCCCTTTACTGCCCCAGAGCCATCTGGCTGTGGGCCCTCTCAGCCTGGTGGAGCACCTGCGGACACTCTCCTTGACCTCTGTGTCCAGCTGTCGTGAAGTCTCTTCTAAGCAGGACCTGCAGTTCATTCATCCCATTTTACAAATGTGAGAAACTGAGATCGAGAGAGAGATCTCAGCAAGCTCTCTGCAAGGCTGGCTAGGATGCCCTTTTCTGAGTGGGAGCTGAGAGCTCAGGGCAGGACACCCCCCACCTGGGAAGCCATCGACAGGGGTGCATGGGACAGCCAGGTCCTGCAGGGCTCCCTTGCCACCAGGCCCCTCCATGTACCCTGACAGCCCATCGAGCGGGACTTAGGAATCAGGCATGTTGGTGAAGCCCTGCTAGGTACAAGGTGCTAGGGTGGGGTGACCACAGCAAGTGTGGCCCTGTGTCTGCTCTTAGTGCTGCAGCTTTTGGCCAGTCTGCGACCTATGCACACCAGAAAAATCAAACAACCACCTAAAGGAGACTCTGAGACCCTCCTACACTCTAGTGATTGTGACCACA